TGACTACTATTGAGATTAAACTTCCTGATGAGTTACTTGCTTTGTTGTTGCTTAGCTCATTGCCAGACAGTTGGGAAGCATTGGTGGTATCTCTGAGCAATTCCACTAATGGCAATATGACTTTTGATACTGTGAAAGAAGCCTTATTGAATGAAGAAATCAGGAGGAAGGGAAACAATACGGCTAGTTTATCGACTCACACAGAAGCCTTGGTTATTGAGTCACGGGGGAGAATCCAACATAGAACCTCTCATAAATCTAATGACAGAAGCAAGTCAAGAGGACAGTCAAGGCCCAGGGAAGACATCAGGTGCTATCATTGCAACAAAGCAGGTCATATGGTAAGAGAATGTAGGTTGCTTAAGAGGGAGAAATCAAGGTAAAGAGGCAATGATAATAAAAAAGATAAAAACACATATGCAGTTGTATCTAATGGTGAAGTTGTTATTGTTTATGAAGATGATTCAGTTAATCTCGCATGCCAAGATTATGAATGGGTTGTTGATTCTGCTGCCTCATATCATGTTACTCCTCATCGTGAGTATTTTTTATCCTATATTGCTGGAGATTTTGGGCAGGTAAAGATGGGTAATCAAGGGGTAAGCAAGGTTGCTGGCATTGGAGATATCTGGGTAGAAACTAATGTTGGATGCAAGTTGTACTTGAAGAACGTTAGGCATATTCCTGATATGCGCCTCAACTTGATTTCAGTACAGGTACTTGATGATGATGGTTACCATAATTCCTTTGGCGATGGTAAATGGAAGTGCACCAAGGGTACTTTGGTGGTAGCAAAGGGAGTGAAGAAAAACACCCTTTACTGGACTTCTACAAAATTGTGTGCCCCTCGAGTGAATGCAATTGAGGATTGTTCTACAGAGCTATGACATAAGCGGCTCGGTCACTTGAGTGAGAAGGGACTTGACACTCTTGCAAGGAAAAATCTGCTTCCGGTGAAAGGTACACCTCTCAAAACTTGCTCTGATTGTATTGTTGGTAAACAACATAGAGTTTCTTCCCGCACTCACCCTCCTCACAGGAGGTCACATATCTTGGATTTAGTTCACACTGATGTTTGCTCTATGGATGTTAAATCCCCTAGTGGCTATTCTTATTTTGTGACATTTATTGACGATCACTCGAGAAAAGTGTGGGCTTTTGTTTTGAAATCCAAAGATCAGGTACTTGATATGTTCAAACACTTCCATGCAAGTGTGGAAAGAGAAACAGGTAAAATGTTGAAGTGTGTCAGAGCAGATAATAGTGGTGAATACAGGGGGCCATTTGAGCATTATTGCAGGGAACATGGAATCAGGCTTGAGAAAATGAACCGCACAATTAATGACAGAATCAGATGCATGCTCTCCCATGCAAAATTGTCTAAATCATTCTAGGGTGAAGCATTGAGAACTGCAGTAGATTTGATCAACCTTTCTCCTTCAATTCCTCTTGATGGTGATGTTCCAGAGAGGGTGTGGCGAGGGAAAGATGTCTCATATAATCACTTGAGAGTGTTTGGCTGCAAGGCATTTGTTCATATTCCCAGAGATGAGAGGTCCAAGCTTGATGGTAAATCAAAACAGTGTATCTTTTTGGGTTATGGCCGTGAAGACTTTGGTTACAGGTTTTGGGATCCGGTTAACAGGAAAGTCCTTAGAAGTCGAGATGTTATTTTTGTTGAAGACCAAACCATCGAAGATATTGACAAGAATGAAAAGCAGAAACAAGTTGTCCACAGGTACATTGATGTTGATCCAGAGCCTCCTACCATAGTCAATAATAATGGGGGAGATGTGAATGCAGATGTGGACAATGCAGGTGATGTTCCTGAGCCCCAATTTGATGAAGAAATTGAACAAATTCCACCAGAGCAACCTCCTAAGCCAGTGAGAAGATCCACCAGAGAGCACCATCCTTCACAGAGATATCCTCCTCATGAATATGTGATGCTTACTGATGGGGAAGAGCCACAAAGCTTTGAAGAAGCTATGTCACATGAAGAGAAATACAAGTGGTACAAAGCCATGCAAGAAGAGATGAAATCCTTACATGAGAACCACACATTTGAGTAGTGAAGCTACCTAATGGTAAGAGAGCACTCAAGAATAAGTGGGTGTTTAAATTGAAGTCAGAAGAAAATAGCTCACAGCCAAGGTACAAGGCAAGGTTGGCTGTGAAAGGATTCAGTCATAAGAAAGGTATAGATTTTGAAGAAATTTTTTCACCTGTGGTCAAGATGTCTTGAATCCGAGTTGTACTTGGTTTGGAAGCTAGTTTGAATTTAGAGGTTGAGCAACTTGATGTGAAGACCGCATTTCTCCATGGTGATTTGGAGGAAGAAATTTACATGGAGCAGCCTGATGGTTTTGCAGTCAAAGGTAAAGAGAAGCTTGTCTGCAGATTGAAGAAGAGCTTGTATGGTCTTAAACAAGCTCCAAGGCAATGGTACAAGAAATTTGATTCTTTCATGGTGGATCATGGGTATGCAAAAACTTCTTCTGATCATTGTGTGTTTGTGAAGAAATTCCCTAGTGAGAAACTTATTATCCTTTTGCTCTATGTCGATGACATGTTGATTGTTGGTCATGACATGAAAGAGATTGAGCATTTGAAAAGAGAGTTGAGCAAGTCCTTTGCAATGAAGGATTTAGGCCTTGCAAAGCAAATCCTTGGCATGAGAATTACACGTGACAGGAAGAATTGCAAATTGTGGTTATTACAACAAAAGTACATTGAGAAGGTATTGGAGAGGTTTAATATGTCAAATTCAAAATCAGTTGGCACTCCACTTGCAGGTCACTTCAAATTGAGCTCTATGCAATGTCCTACAAGTGAGAAAAACAAAGAAGAAATGGAGAATATTCCGTATGCATCTGCAGTTGGTAGCTTGATGTATGCGATGGTGTGTACACGTCCAGATATTGCTCATGCAGTTGGCGTGGTCAGTCGTTTCCTCTCTAATCCTGGAAAAGAACATTGGCAAGCTGTGAAATGGATACTCAGGTATCTCAAAGGTACTTCTGGAGTCTATTTGTGCTTTGGAGGTGGTAAGCCTATGTTAGATGGTTTTGCAGATGCAGACATGGCTGGTGATGTGGATTCTAGGAAGTCTACTTTTGGTTATATGATGACTTTTGCAGGGGGAGCAGTGTCATGGCAGTCTAGATTGCGAAAATGTGTTGCTTTGTCTACTACAGAGGCAGAGTATATTGTCGCCACAGAAGCTGCAAAGGAACTCTTTTGGATGCAGAAATTCCTACAAGATTTGGGTCTCTCACAGGAGAAATATATTTTATATTGTGACAGTCAGAGCGCAATCCATCTCAGCAAGAACTCGACTTATCACTCAAAGTCGAAGCATATTGATGTTCGGTATCATTGGATACGCGATGCGCTGGAGATGAAGAAATTTTCATTAGAGAAAATCCATACCGACGAGAATGGTTCAGATATGATGACAAAGTCCTTACATATAGAGAAGTTCTCTACTTGCAGAAAGAAAGCAGGTTTAATCTCCTATGGTCTCCCTTTAATTTGGTGAGGGGGACAATTGTTGTGTGCGTCACCAAAATAAGTGAGCCCACTTAATCTTATTATTATTATTATTAAAAGAGAAGAAGAAAAAAAAGGGAATTAGCTTTGTGGGCCAAAGCCCATGAATGGTTAAAGGGTTTTAACCCTTGTATGTTAGATATAACAGGAGCAAGGGGGAAGAATGCTGCAATGTGAGCGACTCTACAGACAGTGAGAAGAATATCAAAGAGTGTCTCTTTATTGTTGTGTCGTAGAACTCGTTGAGGGGTTAGATGATTTGATATCCACCTTGTACGGTGAAGATTATATTTGCTCTATTGATCCCTGGTGGTTCCAAGAGGACTTGTGGTGTACCCATTAATTTATTAGTGGAAGATTTACTGGCTTGGTCCCGTGGGTTGTTTTCCCTTTAAGGGTTTTTTCCAACGTTGATAATTCTGGTGTCTCCTTATTTTATTTGCTCTATTTTGTGCTTATTATTGTTGTCTGAACAATTTTGTTTGGAGCTTATTTTTAATTGCACGCAGGGGAAAAGTTGATCCAGTAGCTTCCGCATTTTATTACTATCTTCTATATTTGTTTTCTTTCCCAACAATCATAAAATAAGTATCGTCATAAATTTTCAATCAATAATAATTTTATTTTTTAATTATATATTTTAATTAATATTCTCAATTTATTATACTTTATTTTATGATAATTCAAATACGCTAATAATAAATAATAATAATCTGATAAAAATATTATTCTCTTTTATTTATTTTATTTTCTTAATCAATGTAAAAGGATGAATTATTTTTGGATGAAATTGTTTTTTAATAAATTGTTTTTTCATAAAAAGCGCTTTTAAATTTGAATAAATAAAAATTATAGATGAAATGAAATGGAAGAACCCCACCATATACCCCACACACTCATTCTCTCACTGTACTGACCGGCCACCGCAGTTTGCGTGAGCATTACGGCGACTCCTACCAGCCACCGCGGTGTCACTTTCAACGGTAAGAATCGCTATACTCTTTCAGTTACTCATCATCATAGTTTCCATAACATTCATCGTATTATTGAAGACGATTCATAACTCTGATTATTTTCTTGGGTTACTTTATTTTTCATTCTTAGATTGAACTTTTGCTTTCAGATCCTTTGATTTCTCAACCTTTTCACTATTTCAAAGGTACTCTCTCAGATCTCTCTATAGTATGCTATAGTTCCAAGTATTTTGAAATCAGATGCGAATCGGTTCCTTTTTAAATCTGTTTTTTAGTTTTTAAATTATTAAGAAAAATATAATATACTACTGTATTGTTTAATGGAGACTCGTCGTTTTCAACTGTATTTCAAGAAAAATAAAGAAAGATGCGAAGAAAAACAAGATTGAAATTTGAAAAGGATGCATATACTTGAGTTAGTTTTTATATTCTATTTATAATATTTACACTTCATCTTGAATTTGTAGTTTTGTGATGACTATGCCCAACAAGAAGGCCAATCAAAATGATCGAATCAGTGACTTACCGGGTAATGTCATTGATGCAATCCTAGCAAACTTGAGAATCCGAGACCAAGTTAGAACTAGTATTTTGTCAACAAAGTGGAGGTATATGTGGACTTCAGCCCCACATCTTTGTTTTGATGACGATTTTTGTCAAAGGTTTCTGGATCTCGATGACCCTAGCACTGTAATTTCTGAAATCATCACGGATGTTCTTATGATCCACAATGGGCCAATACACAAGTTTTCTATTTACCTATCTATACACTATGACTTCATGTTCTCAATGGAAAATCTCAATACGTGGATCCCATTTATGTCAAAGGACATTAAACATCTCGAGCTTGTGGCCCCCTATGCTAATAGAGAAGATGAAATGGCTGATATTCTCTTCTCTTGTAAGGAATTGACTTACTTAAAATTTAGCTTTTTTAACTTGTTAATTCCAAATAATTTCCGCAGCTTTAAAAAATTGCTTGAACTTCATTTAAATTCTATTGAATTCGATTCCAGTTCACTCGAGAGTTTTATGTCTGGATGTCCGCTTCTTGAAAAGCTCAGCATTGCATACTGTTATGATCATAGTTGTGATTATCTTGTTATATCTTCTCCTTCTCTCAAAGTCTTAATGCTAGAATCGACCATGATGAATTTGATTTGTCTCAAGGGAGCAAAGAATTTGATCGATTTTACACTCAAGGGATTTCTGAACATAGGTTTTATCAAAAGTTTGCCAGAAATTAAGAGGTTTTCTCTGACCAATTGGGGAAAGGTTAGAAAACATCACTAATTGTAGTATTTTCATTGTTGTTCTGTTGGCCTCACGATTTAATATTTTAATGACTGTATTTTACTCTTGTTTCTTATACATTTATAAGAGAAGTAGTTTTGAACTTTGATCGATGGTCCAATCCATTATTTATAATGAAAGCTGGGTTTTTGCTACTTCTAAGATAAACTCATAGATTTGTTGTTTGTATGCATAGTATGACGTCAAAATTCCTCCCATGCTGGCAACAAGCTCATTTAGCTCTTTAGAGTATCTGAAATTGGATGACTTGGATTTGAATGATAAAGGAGACATTTTGTATTTGGTCAGGGTTCTCAAAAGTGCTCCCAGCTTGATTGAACTTGTTATTAAACAGGTGAACATGAAAACCTATGCTTCTTATCTTGTTTCTTATTGTTGTATTTTGACTCTTTAATTTTTATATTTCAGAGTTACAACTATGATGATACCACACAAGTGTCAGATTATTCAGAGGAGTTAGAATGCCTTAGTTGTAACCTCAAACTTCAAACAGTGGATGTCTACTTTAGAGCTAACTCTCAATATGCGATGAGCTTGATACAGTTCATACTTGTAAATTCCCCTTTGTTAAAGATTCTTACTTTGGATTATAGTTCTATTGAATTAGATGCAGCTATGTTCAGAATTTCACAAGACTTGTTATTGATGGAACGAGCATTAGCACGCATTAACCTCCTTCCTTGTGATAGTAGTTAGTATAGTTAAACACAAGTTATGGTGACAGTGGATGTATTGTTTGATGTAATGAACTTCTTGTACTAATGTAGTCATTGTTTAGTTTGTGCGGTGACAGTGGACTACTTGGATGATGAATCATGAATGTGTAAGTGACAGTTTTCATGTTTTTCAGTTACTGGACTAGTTAACTTTTCTTGAATGGTGCTTTATTTCCTTTATTTTATTTTATTTGGTGAATACATCAATTAATGTTTTTTTTCTTTTATAATTTTGATGGGACAGTGGTATTTGCTTATAAAGGGTGCAAGATGGTTCTGTATTTTGATCTTAATCTGTCCATTTTGTCATCCCTAACCATCAAGTAAAAAATGGCAAAAATATTATGTTAACCACTAAGATGGAGAATGCAATCTACATGATGAGTATCCTATTAAACTTTCTTACATGATCAATATCATATTTTCTATAAATGTTCTTTTTATTCTATAAAGCTAAAAATTCAAAACATATAATAAAAGTTATGATGCACACTTGTATGTTTATAGGATAATTATTGAATCGATAGTGATCACCTGAAGGTGGTTTTCAACTGTATGTGATCCAAGTGATTCAAAAACTTTATGAAAAAAAAATAGATGAAAAATTACAGGATCGAAATTTAACTTTATAAAAAAATAAATTAAAAAACGTGAAGAAAAACAGAATTCAAATTTAATATTATAAAAAATGTGAAGAAAAACAGGATTAAAATTTGAATATGTAGCTTCTGAATTAAAAATCCCGATCAAGAAGAAACATATGAGCAAAAATAAAATAATGTGAAGAAAAACAGGATTAAAATTTGAATATGTAATTTTTGAATTAAAAATCCCAATAAGACCTGCAAAAAACACATAAGCAAAAGTAAACTAGTGGAAAAAGAAAAAGAAAACCCAGAAAATTAAAAAAGGCAAAAATTATTAGAACAAAACTTTTGTTGGTTTGTTATAATAAAATGAAAGTACATTATGAATATATAGAATTAAATATAAAATTAAGTCATAAACTTGTTTTCTTTAATGTAAATGTTTGTCATATATATTTACACTCTTGATAGAACTTGAATTCTTGACTTCCAACTTTTTTTATTATTAGTTCAACTAATCAGCGATGTTAGATGAAATAATTTGACATTTAAATTTGGTCAATAAGAGAAACCATGTCCTGCTTTAGAATATTGGATGGAGTTTGTTTACCAAAACTAAAAATAAGTACTTATTGGTATAAATAGTTTATATCAATTGTAATAATTTACTTATCAGAAGAAGAAAAAATTATAAAGAGAAAGAACATATTAATTGTTATTTTAAATTTATTAAGACAATTCAATTTATTTTGCCAACATTTTGAAAACAGGATGGATGAAGAAATTCACACAATTGAAAAAAATAATACATGGGAGTTAACTACATTTCCAAAAGAAAAGAAGTCAATTGGAGTCAAGTGGATATACAAAACAAAGTACAATCCAAAAAGAGAAGTAAATCGCTTCAAAGCATGATTAGTAGCAAAAGGGTAGAAATAAAAATTCCTCCATCTATCTGCGTTCCTTAATGTCTAAAAAAATAAGACATTTGACCTATATTTGTCATTTCAAATTAAGTGGATATGCTTTCCTTAAAATTTGCTAACAATTTAGTATTGCTAACGGTGAAGATAATATCATCCACATACAAGAAAATAATAACAACATTTTTCGTCCTTGTTTGTTTTGACGTATAAAGCATGCTCATACGGACTTCTATGAAATCTATTATTGATAAAGCATGTGTCAATAAGTGTGTAGCAAGCTTTAGGCGCCTACTTCAATCCATAAAGTGTTTTTCTCAACTTGTACACCTTATCTTCTTCTCCTTGTAAATAATCTTGTGGTTGTTCTACATAAACTTCTTCTTCTAGCACACCATTCAAGAAAGAAGACTTGACATCCATCTGAAATATCTTCCATTTATTCTGGGTAGCAAGGAAAGGATTATGTGTATCATGTCCATTCTAGCAACTAGAGCAAAAATTTCAAAATAATCAATGTCGGGTTTTTATTTGTACCTTTTTGCTACATATCGTGCTTTGAAGTGATTACTTCTTCTTTTGGATGTCACTTTCTTTTGTATACCCACTTGAATCTAATTAGCTTCTTTCCTTTTGGAAGTGTAGTTAACTCTCATGTATTATTTTTGTCAATTCTTGTTGGAAGTGTAGTTAACTTTCATGTATTATTCTTCTCAATTGCATAATTTTTTTCACCCATTGCTTTCATCCAACAATCTTTATTGGTTGTTTTCTCATTTCTCATTGGATCACAATTAGAAAATAAGGCATAATAAGTAATTTCTTCCTCCATATCACCAAAATCACCATCTCTGTCAACTTCATAATCTTTCAAGTGAGGAAGTGGACGACTTTCCCTTTGTGAATATTGTTAGACGACAGACTTTGATTTAGAAAAAGTGAATAGATCACAAATTTAAAATCAAACTTTTGACAAAAAAAATTTCAAAAGTTTTATGGCACAACGAAAACAACCCGAATCGAATCATCTAACCCAACCTACTATCGAAAAGTTTAGATATGTGTAACAACAGTACACAATTGGATGATAACGAACACAAATTATTCAACAAAGATTAATTCCAACACAATCAAATGCTAAGTTATATGTAGAGCTTATTTCCAATTATCAAAATCAAACAGAAACACAACAATGCAATTTATCAAACACTTTGTGTGCAATCGATATTGTTTAGAAATTCACTTTATTTTGTTGATCTTAAAACAAATCACAATAAATCAGATTATGGTTCTATCAACAAAACCTAATTCAAAATACGATCAAAAATAATTCTCAATCGAATTGGTCAAACAACCAATGAATTCAATAAATTTCACACACAAAAATTAAAAAAGATAGATAGATAGATAGATAGATAGATAGATAGATAGATAGATAGATAGATAGATAGATAGATAGATAGATAGATAGATAGAGAGAGAGAGAGAGAGAGAGAGAGAGAGAGAGAGAGAGAGAGAGAGAGAGAGAGAGAGAGAGAGAGAGAGAGAGAGAGAGAGAGAGAGAGAGAAGGATCTATTTAGGCAGTTCACCAATCGGCCTCGCTATAAGTACGTATGTCCTCAATTCGAATTCGAATTGAGATAGTTGCAATTAACCTTACTTTGCAAAAAGTTTATATACAAGAGATGAAGAACTCTAACCCTACAAACTCTATGGTCTGTTGTTGAATCTACCACCTCCAAAGCCCTTGATCAAAGATTGATCAAGTCACCAACAATGTTGCTTAACTTCACCAATTCTTGCTACTTCATTGCAAGGAACCACCTTGTCCCAAGGCTTTCACATGGTAGAATTAATTCCAAGCGCACACTTGTTGAACCCATGATTTACTAACACAATCCATTGTCTCACACTACTCCCTTGTAAGGAACCACATTGTCCCAAGGCTTTCACTCGATCGGATCCGAATTGCGTAATCTTATAAAAAAACTTCAAATCCTCAATGATCTTGAAGAAAGCCCCCCAACTCAATTTTTTTTTTTGAAACACTCAAAGATCTCAAGCCAATATTCTTGGTACAACAACCTAATTAAACTTTATCAACCCTAATATAGATGGTCACCCAATCAAAAAATAATTATTTGTAGTTTGATTGTGTGTATGCATATAAGAGAGGTTGAAGATGATGAGTATACTTTGGAACTCTGGTTTCGTGTAGGTTTTACACTAGAACCTTACTAGAAAAAGATGCATTTATCAAGTATTTATAAGTATGCAAGTTTGGAAGCAAAGTACATGTAAGTGAATGGAGGAAAATATGAATTTTTGAAATAAAGCATTGTGTGTGCTGACCTATAAAAGTTATAAGTCGATCTACCAAAGCAATTGAGTCGACTTGTGAAGTTCTTAGGTTAACCTGTAGAGGTCTTGTGTCAACCTATATTGGTTAGCACATGGACAATAGCTACATTCTTTATTTTTAATGTATGGGTGTCGACCTAAGATCATTATGTGTCGACCTATACTGAAGTTCAAACTTCTATAGATCAAACTAAAAATGTATGTGTTGACCTATGTTGTGTTGTTTTCACAAAAACTTGTTTTTCAATGCATTTTTCACCAAAACCTTGTTTTCAATGCATGTATGATGCATGAACCTTTTCCAAATCATTTTAATTCTTCCTAATGCTAAGATGCACATTTAGAATCATAGGATATCGTTCAATATATATTATCGCTAAACTATCCTAGTTTTGATATCATTCAAAATACATCTAGCGGAAAGTTGCACTCACATACTCCCCATTTTTTATGATGGAAAAACTTGAGACGATGGGCTTCCCGATGTTTTGTGTCTTCATGAAGACTCCTGTGAATAGATGCATCCAACTTCATTTTTTATACTTATCCCCCTTTGGCAACATCAAAAAGTGACAAAGCAAACCATGAGAAATATCTTATATCACATACAAACTAATATACTATATAGAGGCAATTTTCAAAGATAAGAACATCAACATGATAACACTCACATAGAATGATATACATATTGAACAAGAATATATAAACATAAATACAAGCATATAAAGAAACAATAGAACATCATTGTCACACTTTATGCAAAATAACATAACACAAACACGAGACATGAAGGATACAATGTCATCAAAAACTCTTGAGTTTGCTACAAAAGTGACACGATTAAGTGACATATTCCTTTGGTGCTCCCGAAATACCGCAGACGCATGTGCTCTAGCAAGGCGATACAAATTCATCATCGCTCAAAATGAAAACAGAGATGTTATCATAACAATGACACACAACAAGAATTTTACCAAAATTATAACATGTTCAACCATATTTCATGCAATAATATATAACAAGTCAAGTGCATCAAGAGTATATTTCAAGCATATAGGTGGAATAACACATAACCACTATAAGCATATAATTGACAAACATCAATAGA